CCCCAAAACCCCAAAACCCCAAAACCCCAATTAAGATTCATTTGGTTGAACTTCATCTGGATCTTCCGCAGACATCTCTTGGTCTTCATCAAAAAGACCCATTCTGCAGTCTTCATCAGCAAAATCTTCCTTTAACTCATTTCTAATGTCTTCAGCAGTGATACCGAAACTTTGCTGAGACTGCATAGCAAGATTTTCTTCAAGTTCTTTCTCAACCTGAGTGTTAGTTTTTGGTGCTTTTTCAGTCTGTGTGGCATTTTTAGGTTTCCTTCCTCTCTTTTTCTTAGCTTTCTCCTCTTCCTTTTTATCCTTCAAATCTTCATTATGAATCATTGTGAGCATATCTTCAATCCCTAAAACTTCTTCTCCCGGTCTGGCTGCTCTCTGAAAGGGATCTTGAGAGGCTGCTAAATCCTGTGGAGCACTGACACCTTGGGTTAAAGACTCTCTCTTTCTCACCTCCTTAAGATCTTTAGCTTTAATATTTCTCTCCCCACTAACTCCAGTTGTCTTCCTCATAACTTCCGGTACATCAATCTTCTCCGTATTCTCCATCAGCTGTGTATTAATACTCTGCTGTGTTTGCCTCTTGACCTCCCCTAATGTATGTATTCTCTGACTCGGATCAATCTCTGCTGTATAAATATTGGTATTATACACCTCCTGTCTCTTCTGTTCCTTCTCTTCCTCCTTCTTCAGCACCCTATCATACTCATCATCATCAGGATTTTCCTTCACAACTTTAGTCTTCCCAGTCTGCTCCAGTTCCTTCAGTAAATTCTGTTTCTCCCTTCTTGAGAGAGTCTGGGTGGCGAATTCGACTACTTTCTGGAAACTTTCCTTCATGACTGTAAGGTCGTCTTCTAGCTTGGAGAATTTGGTCATGAAGAAATCGAATCTTTTGGACATGCGGAGCATGTCTTGGTGGAGAGTAGTGTCGGCTCTTTTGGGGATGGAGTCGAGAGGCGGGTTTAGATTCACGTTGATGGGGTAGGCGGTGTGGAGGGCAGCGGGGGTGCTGGTGTGGGTAGGGGTGGAGGTGCTGAAAGGGGGTGTAGGTGTAGTAGAGGGGGATTTGTAGGGCGTTGGAGCAGGGGAAATCTGGGTTTGGTCATTTTCGCTATCACTATCGATGATCATAGGGTTTGAAGCGGAGCTAGCGAGGGAGGGTTTGGTGGATTTGGAGGTTTTGGAGGGGGCTAGAGGGATAGGAGGGGTGGCGGCTTGGGTATGGGATTTTGGGGAAGAAAATTCGTCATTAAACCTTAGCATTACCTTCTTTGGGCTATGGATTTGGTTCTCAATGGATTGTAAAGGATCTGGGTAGTTCAACTCTGGTTTTTTAGCAAATGGATCTTTCTTTGCCTTCTTTTTAGACCCAAAATAGTTAGGCATTTCGGAATTTGCTGACCCTTCTTTACTGTACTTGCATCTTTCCAACTCTGGCTTGAAGTGAGTTCCAGGGATATTTCAGTAACAAGAGTTTGGTTCACTATCATCAACCTTGCCCATGGACCTTGCAAACTCGAGGAATTTATCTGATTCTGAATAAAGTACCATTCATGTATAGGTATGTTCAGGTATCATCTTTGACCAAGTATCTTTTATTTTGTCGTTCATAAAGTACCATGTCTCATTACAAATCTCAAGTGGCTTCTTTAGTTGAGCATTTAACTTGATCAGATCTCCAAAGTGTTGCCAGTCTTGTGAAGGTACAAGTGCTCTTCTGGGCATTGCGAATTTAGTGAGTAAAAACCTCATCTTTTCTTCCTTTGACATCATAGAATAGCTCATTGAAGATGTTGAATTAGCTTGACTCATTGAGTTCATTGTGAAAGCTATAAACAAAGTGCTCCTTCAAGATGACAAGAGGGAATCCATAATTCCTCCAATTAATGAAAACATCGCTAAATTCGTTCAATATTATTTCACATTACAACAATGTACAATATAGTTTCTCTCTTACAATTTGTAACCCTATTCTTGCAAGAAATAAACCCTCGATAATATCTTATGAATTACTCAATCCCAAAATACATCTTGGGGTTTTGGGGTTTTGGGGTTTTGGGGTTTTGGGG